CAGTAAGAGGTTTTTATTTAATAGAATTTTTGGACAAAAAAATCACAACATATCACAATATATCGCCTTGCTTACAGTATCACAATATATCGGGATATATCTTATCGTGACCCCTCTGTCATGATTTGTATCGTATCGCCAAATTCTTGCCAATACACAGGCCTAGTAAAAAGGTTGACTGACTGTTAGTAACTCAGTCTGCAAAGTTCGCATCAGCTAAATCAGATGTCATCTTATGTACCTATGTAACTATGTTAATATTTTTGTCGTACAAATACGGCATAAGTTTTTCTTATATTTTATCAAATTTTGAACATTTTTGTTTCGAGCAGGTAACATTTCATGTTGGGTAGGTAACACTTTTCGTCACCTGCCCGACAGGGCAGATAAAAAATAATAATAATCTTGCCCAACCCTGTCACATTTGTCAAGTAATCTCCAGAAAATCTCAAAACATTTGTGGAAGTTTTGCTCATATGAATCACAGAAGCTTGAAGTGTAGTCAGCTTGAAACTGTTTCACTCTAGTGAAAAGTTTGTTTAAAAAATAAATAAATAAATAAATAAATAAATAAATAAATAAATAAATAAATAAATAAAAGAGGAAGTGATGAAACTGAAATACCATCTTCCTCTCTCCATCCTCCTGGGGGAAGTTGTGGACAACAAAAAAGTTTAAAAAAAAAAGACTGATTTAAAAACCACCAAAGTAAAGACAACATTCTCCCTTCATGGAAAAGGGAACTAGTCTTCTGTAACGGGAGCTGGGGGAAGCCCGGTGCATCTATGGCTTGTTCCAGCATGCTACACTGGGGGGTCAGTTTCATCCAAAGTAAAAGCGCACAGCAAACAGAGAGAAAAACGATACACCATGACGTACGACAACGGTTCTGTACTTCAGGAGAATTTCCCAAAGATACTCTACAGCAACAGAACGACTTATAACTGATCTCTTAACTAATCTTTTCCTGGCCTCACTGTCTGACACACCATTGACAAACTGTTCAAGAACCACAGAGCAGTCATGTTGCGACGCTCCATCATGGCAACAACCTAATCTTGGGCCTGGTGTACAAATGACACCAGAATTAATCAATACAGAAGTGAATAGCCTAAAATCTGAATAATGCAACATTTGAACTGACACAACTCTGTCGCTTTCCACACATTTGCTACAAAACACTTTTAAATAGCATTCATACAACTTTATTACTGCAAAATAAGTTTTAAATGTCACATTTATAGTCTGTAGTTTGAGTCAAATAGTCTTAAAACATTCAAATCCAGGTTTTCTTCAGGTCAGCTGAGTCTGTACCATTAAAGACTACTTTTTGTGTACATTCCAATAGAGTAACACAAGAACCCAAAACTGAATATTTTCACAGTGTGCTTGTTGTTTTCCATCAGGGTGATAGCAGGGTAAGCACTCAAAGCCTGACAGAGGGTTTCTTAGTCTTGTGCAATCTGTTAAATTCCACTGCACAACTAAGGAGAGCCTTCCTGCAAACGCACAACCAGTGACAGGCTCACAACAAACAGATGAACTGATCAGCTGCTGTGTACATCTCATACTGACACTGCCTAAACAGGCTTTTTTTTGTAAGTTATAGATTTATTAAAGCTTATCAACAAGTGTCCTAACTTAAGCTTCATATTGCTAATGTGTTTTTGTAACAGTGTTTTAGACAACTCTGATCATGGGCAAATTATAAAATGGAGAAACTCAAAATGTTTTATTTGCTTTTTTATTATTTCCTTTCTGCAAAAAAAAAAAAAAACACACACTGAAAGTTCAGTTCCTATCCATTAGGTCAGGGCTCGGCAACCTTCACGATAAAAAGAGCCATTTATGCTGCTTGGCGCACTAATAAAATGTGTTCAGAGCCACAAAACAAGCTACAACTGTGATTATCAACTGGTGGACCGTGGGCCTTTTTATGACCTTTTTTGGACACCTTTACGGCCAGTGGATGTGGCATTATAAAACTAAAAAATACATTATGAATTTTATTATTTATTATTATTTTGACACATCGGGACAAATGAAAAGACCACATTCATGTAAACAAGAAAAAAATACTGTACATAGTTTATCCTGAATTTCATAAAAACTAGTACAACTGAACTATTCAGGTGTATTTTTTCTAATTCTTACTATGTAGTCTTCAAATTCTTTAAAGGTAATTTTAATGGATTCGAGAGAAAGAAGTTGGATTATTTAAGTAAATAAAAGGCTAGTATGAGCTAACATGTTTTACTTTTTTGATCATATTTTTGCATACAAATTAATTTTTTGTTGTGAGTATAAAAAACAAAAAAAATCTGTTATGCTTGGTCACATTTTCAAAGGGCCACTGCAGAGGGACCAAAGAGCTACATGTGGCCCCAGATGTGCAGATCCCTGCTTTAGGAGAAAGTAAAACTTCTAAATGTACAAAAATTGTTCCAAACACTGACACCAAAACCTGAAATGTGATTGTTATCCGTGTTCGTTGCAAATACAAAACAAACTACTATGTCACTGATATTAGCGTTTACAAATCCATTTATTGATACACGTCAACACATAATTCTCTGACGAAAAAAAAAAACAAATGTTGAGATTCCATTTAACTTTTTTGTAAGCACATTCCTCTCATTGCAGCAGGTCTTTGCGCCGTGATAAGCTGAAAACAGGCAGAGGCCCAGCTTGTTAGCCACGCTTCCTGAAGGTTTCCAAACAGAGCCGTAGACCCAGAGTCCAGTGACCGCAGTGCACAGGCTCGATCACATGTCCCACACAGGCCACTCGAACGGTTTTATCAGTTTAAGAACAAAAAGACTCCCAAACTGCACACACAGGCTCAGACAGGCAGACGGGTGTGCCTCAGAGTCAACTTTACAAGAAACACACCTCATATCTTCTGTCATGTAAGGGCAGCGAATTTCAACAAACTGCTGACTGTTTAACCAGATTCTCTTTACTCCCCATGTAAAAACCTGAACTGACAACTGGATTAAGTGACCAACACCATAAAAGTTGGAGCCATAACTTCCAGAAAGCCAACAGGTTATAATTACAATTCCAGCAGCCAAACATAATTATACATCAAACTATACACAGACAGACTCGTCTTCTCTTTAACTGCCACCCAAAGCTTGAAGGCCAGGCACTGATAGCTCGATGATGCAACAGAGAAAGAATTACTGACAACAGCAGAAGAGCCACCATCATGGGGTTTGGTCAGCATGGTGTAAATGTGTTATCCTCCTCACTATGCTTGCCATCAGTCTTTCAGGGACACTTGCACCGTCTCAGCTGTTACACCTTCTGCCAAACTGTGTAGCCAGATATCCCACAGGACGACCAGATCCGAGCCTGAAATAGAGATCCATCACAGAGGGGACAAACACACACACACGTACAGAGTGTTTGCATGTTCAGCTGGCGTGCTTTTACATCTGTAAAATTTGTTACAGATTCATCTAAGTGACAGTTAACATATGGGTGTGTGTGTGTTGTACGTGCAAGTAAGGGGGGATGGGTAACACAAACCAAGACACCTGTTGAAACTTCTGTTGTGGCAATTTATTGAAGTGGTAAGCTTTGTGGGGTAACCTACTTCACCTGAAACGACCAAACTAGCATTTTTTTTAAATAAATAAGTGATCAACAGTGTGTTACAAAAACAAAACATGAGCAAAAATTACAACTAAGCCTGCTAATTTCACACTCATTAAAATCAACCATCTGCAGTTTACTTAAAGTGATTAGCTCCTGGGGGTTTACACCTGCCTCCTAAAGATAAGACTAAAGTTAGCAAACAGGCTAACTGCGAGCGAAACCTTTTCCCTGAACGGTTAAAACGTAGCTGCTAAACAGCCAACAAACCACAGAAAGTGTTTCTGACTGCCAGGTTTTACAGGTGAGGTGACATACCTTCAGTAACAACAGCAAAATGTATCACACGGAGCGTCAAAGAACAGCTTAGCACCGAGGATCCGCACCACAGTGACAGTGAAACTCTGCACCAGCGCTGCTGTTTCTGCTGCCATCTTGTTCCAACGACGAGAACGGACCCAGCGACTTTTCGCACATTTGAAGCTCTTTCTAACGCAAAAAAAAAAAAAAAAACCTCGCTGTTACACGAGCGGGATATAATCCATGATGTCGTCCGCCGTCCCGGGACTCGTCGAACGTTGGTCTTGCGTCTACTTCGGACGAAGGTCGATGTTTGTAAACTTTTACATGTTACTGCGCCCCGTCCGCGACTGATAGCCTGCTGCTGGCTAGCTGTTGCTGCTGCTGGTTCTATGGCTTGTTGCTTCTACGCATGCGCGGGTTGTTTGGAAGGGGTGGTGGGAGGAGCCAATGAGCTCCGTCAGTCAATTGTTGCTTATACGCATGCGCGGGTTGTTGGGAAGGGGTGGTGGGAGGAGCCAATGAGCTCCGTCAGTCAAAACATTTCACTTCCATACACACAGGATATATTCACACATATCTAATTACTTATCTCACAATAACGTAACACTAATTATTGAAATGTTGATAAAATTAGGCTTAATAAGTCCTGCTGTGTATTTATAAATAATACATGTTTCAGTGTTTCTTGTTTTAGGGTTTTTAAATTAAGGTTCTGGCTTCATCGACTGTCTGGTATGAGTACTACATGCTTAGGTACGTTCATATGATCAAATTGAAACTCTATCTTTTAAAATATTAGAATATAATATGTCACAACTCACCAATAACTCCACAAAGCATCAATCTATTCTTTCAACATACTGCTTTTACAAATTAAAGTAAAGAAGACAGTTTTGAGGGACAAATAATGCTTTATTTGCTCATTTTGTGAACACTCAACAACAAACATCTGTGCAGTGAATCAGTCGCGGTGTTACTCATTTGGAGAACAAGAAACATAACTTAAAAGTTTTGCATTTAGCAGTTGCAAAAGACAAATGTTAGACTCAAAAACAAGAGTCCATCAAAATAAAATAGTTCAACATCTATAGAACCAACAGGAATTAACAATCCGTTATTAAAGAAGAAAAAAAGAAAGCTAAAGCTAAGTAACATTTAAACAGCTAGTTCAGTCAGACCACAGTACTTGTTGACCTTCCCTTTAGTAAATTTATTTGGACAACTTTATTTATGCAAATCGTGTTTTTGTCAGGATTATATTCATCACACGATGAACCGATCCAAGAGTGTTTTATCAGCATGAAAAATTTGTCTCAAAAGTCACAAACGTAAATTACAAAAATGTAAAATGCATGTTTCAGTCCATCAACAAATAACAGCAAACGTGAACAGAAATGGGGCCGTATTATGCGTTATGTCACATTATTTTTAACCTTTCTGTATTTAAACAGCTTGTTCTGCAGACAAGAGGCATACACAGTCAGAAAACAATTGTTTTTGTGTAATTTCCACATGAAAGGGTTTATTTTTGTTTTCATCACTTTTAAATCTTCATATCTAACTCAGTTTTCCACCAGACCAAATGTACAACTAACCGACGTTATCTTATATAAAGACATGTCGTTTGGTTGTATAAAAGTTTAGGAGATATCCCTCCTCGACTATGAAACACGACTGAATGATGGCTCGAAGCAAAAGGTAGGAAAGGCGGAGCGCTGCTCGGCGCTTCACGTGACTGGAGTGGAGAGAAAAAAAACATTTTGTCTTTGGTATCTTAAAAAAAAACATTTAAACCATAACCGTATGACAAAAAATTTGTTTTTAACACTGCAGTATTCCTTGACACCGATAACCACCCTATGTCTTATTGCAACCGTAATAAATAGTCAGTTCTCCAACAGAACCCCTGCTAGTGATACCATTTAAGTTTATGCCAGCACAACTAATGTAAAAGTCACAATTATTACTATTTTATTGATTAAATAACACTGTGAGTAATCAGAACTGAATTGGTGTTTTTGTTTAGATCAGGTGAGTTTAAGGTGCACATTCTGCAGAGCTGGCTTCCCTTTACAGAGGGGCAACAGCAGAACCGCAGATCCCCTCGCCACACCGATCCTCTCTATGTCTGCGTGCCGGGGCTCTCCCCCGACGTCAGGATTTCCTGGAGGATCTTTTGGTAGAACGGGGAGAAGACCAGCTTGTTGAAGTTGACCAGGCGGCTGAAGCGAACCGAGAGCTCTTTGAGCTCCCTGCTGATGGGAGCCAGACCGCCCGGGAGAGGAGGCGGGGTCTTGTGTTGACTGGACTCCAGGGAAGCCAGGAGGTAGCTCTGAACCCGGGAGTCTGTGAGGAGAGAGGAGTTACGGGAAGACAAATGGTGCTGATGAGGGGGGGACGGAGACGTACGGCGAGCGACGCTCTTCTTACCCATCAGCTTACGGACGGTGTTGTCTGGCTCGGCGATGGCGGAGATCTGTCCCATCAGGGCACCCTTACGGTCGGCTGAAAACGGCGAGTATCCATGGTGGCTCAGGCAGTGACTCAGCTCAACACACAGTTTCTCCCCGATGGTCGCTAAGGCCTCCCGTATATTAAAAGACCTCAGAAAATAAAGTTATATTAAAACCTGTCCTAGCATGGAAGGAAAGTGAGCACAGTCCCGCTCAACCGCTAACCTGCTAATAGCATTATAAATTAATATCAGTTTTTTTTGCCACTAAAAACTAAAAAGCATTAAATACACGCCACCATGTTATTAAAGGGCCGGTGACATCAACTTTTTTAGATAAACAGGATGCATTTGTGGAAAGATAACATTGATAACATATTGCAAAACAAATTTCACGCCGCTGAGATGAACGGTTGTTCAGAAATTTGCCTGTGAAGAAACAGGAAGTGATGTCAAAGGGGAATGTCTGCATGTAAACAGAGCGATCCTACAACGGCTAACAACACAGACTGTAGAGAAGAATCTGATGGTTTTTTTTAACATTATTTTGAGTCAATATCAAAGAGAGATGAAGAATAGTTAAAGTTTAAATAATTTTGTTTTAATAAACAAAGACCAGAGACCAAAAATAATAATAATCTCATTGTGTGGCCCTAACACTCCGTCGTATCTGCCAATGCTATAAGTTTTTTTATCGCTAGCAGAGCTAAATAAACTTCCAGTGAATATTTGTACTCACTGTGCGTGCATGTCTGCGAGCATGATGCTGACAGTGTTTTTAAGGGTCTCCATCAGTCCTGGCAGGCCTGAGATGGCCTCTCCTGTCGTCGTGTAGACTATCAGGAGCACAGAGGAGAGCAGAACTAACCGCTCGGCCTCCTGCTGCATCTCCTGGAACCGGACCTGATCCATCAGAACCGTCTGCACGGAAACCACACTCATTCAAGGGTAAGCAACAAAACCAAAACAACCAATAAAGAACACCAAAGGCCCGAGAGCCTACCTCTGGGAAGAGATCCACAGCGTGGTCCCACCTGAGCAGGCGGAGATATGCCTGATTGTGAACGTTTAGGAAAGCGAGCGATGAAGACTGATCGGAGGCAGCGCCACAACCGTCCGTTTCTCTCAGGAACTTCACCGTTTCCTCCAGCCACTTCTTAGTGTAGTCTAAGGCATCTAAGGAGGAAAGGGAAGTTTGACTTTTTTTACTGCGTATGGATATTAAAATTATATATTTATGGGTCAAAAATAAAGGAGACCAATTATGGGTCCTAGAAATGTTTATGGTATGTCTGTGGGCTATCCAGACCATGTTCATTCAATT